GGTTATTTCAAGCCCAGCCGAAGCCAGGATATCGTGGTATGCTGCATCTCCCAAATTGATAGTCGTACACTCCCAGGATCCAACAGTCATCGTGTCAGCAGCTAGATGACTGAAACAAAATAGCAACACATACACTGCCATAGCTCCACACATGCCCTCGTCCGAACCTAGCAAGCCACTTGGAAGTCACCAGGGAGCCAAGTCCTGCTCGCAGGTTTTCTTGGCTTTCCTTCAGGTGAACACGTCCAGGAATCCAGTATCCGCAGCAGCCGCAGTAGTACTGTACTGTGTAGTAGTAGCAGGAAATCCAAGTTGTACCCACCCGTTGTCCAAACAAAGATTTGTGATTCCGTGAGAGAAGGAGATACCACCGCCGTTGAAGGGTCGAAGGCACTCTCTGCCAGATGTAGGCTGTGTGATAGATGGTGCCGCTTATGTGTTCTTAGCCTGCCTGCCGTGAGGGTCGTGACGAGGCCGCTGCGGCGTGTTTTTTTTTTTTTTTTNACTGTGTAGTAGTAGCAGGAAATCCAAGTTGTACCCACCCGTTGTCCAAACAAAGATTTGTGATTCCGTGAGAGAAGGAGATACCACCGCCGTTGAAGGGTCGAAGGCACTCTCTGCCAGATGTAGGCTGTGTGATAGATGGTGCCGCTTATGTGTTCTTAGCCTGCCTGCCGTGAGGGTCGTGACGAGGCCGCTGCGGCGTGTTTTTTTTTTTTTTGTGCAGGAGCGAGCACAGGAGAAGACGTAATGCACACCTGCGGCATTTGATGATGACTTCACATAGGGACCAGCAGCAACAGCAGGCCAAGCTCAAGAACTAGCCGCAAAGTAGGCGGGCAGACGTGACGGAACTTCGAAGCGAGGGGGAGAGGGTTGAACGGAGAATGATAGATTCCCGGCGAAAGTGGAGTCGCTCGGTTTTGGATGGATTCATGGGTCCACAGTTTTGTCGGTTGAGGGATTGTACAACATAAGGTCTGTTGACTGATGTCGTCATCGATGTCGTCAAATTGTTTGTTTGAATGCTGATATACTTTTGTAATTTGTTGAGGTTCGTTTGATTGATGTACGTCATCATCGACGTCGCGAAGCGCTACATATGGTGAATGGTCGAAGTTGTTTTGCAAAGATTGATGTCTTGTTTGGGTTGGCCAAGGAATATGTTACCGGTGGTAATATCGATTCCTGAGAAGTTTGTGAATTGGTTGAGTTGAGTTGTTTTTTTCGTATGTTGAGGTTGGTTACAGTAGCTACGTTTGCGGCAGTCCCTCTCGTGGTCGGTGTGATTGGCCCGCTGGCTTCGCTCGGTCATTGGTCAGGCAGACGATAAGCGCAACAGCTACAATTCTAAGCTTTTCAAGCAACACCGTGGGGCGAAGTAGGTAAGCACCAAGAAAGGACAATAACAATCTAGTACACTCGGGCGCCAAGCATAATGAGCCTTGTTGTTTGTTGGATGCCGACAATACGATGACACTGGTCGTTACCCAGACCACTCAAACGTAAGAGTGCTGGGCGTGGAGAGGAAAGACTCCACATCCTCTTTCTGCGACTTGGACGTACCGCTACAGGAAATAGATCTTGCCGTCGTCTATGTTTCAGTGACAGGTCCACGGGATGGATGTAAATCAGTCGATTTTCGCTCCCTCGACTTTGTACATCACATCACTCACGATCTTGCAGCTGGCTCTCTCCCTTCAGCATCGATGCCACGCTTCCCCTGCCCGAACAGCACCACCGACCACCCCTCCCTACGTGGTGCTTACTTGGCGCTTGTTTTTGCTCTCAGGCGATGGCTTGGGTTGTTACGGATTGTCGGTTGTACCATGTGTTGGTGGGATGGATACCATCGTCTTGCGGAATTCCGTGCGTGTGATTCGTGATGGCCACGGCAGACTGATTGAACACCTATACCTGTCTGGCGTTCGTTTCTCTGTGGTTTGACGAATCATTGGGTACATGTGGAAGGGACGTCCTGTCTACTTAAAGCGGCTGCATGCGGGTAACTTTCTTTCGCAGCAACGAATGTATGCATAGCTCACACGAATGAATGCCGTCACAAGGGATTGGATACAGAATGCAGAATTACTGTTGTGCTGGAGCTTATCTATCTGTCTGCTCGGATGGGACCGGTCGATGAGAGAGAACGACGGACCCTCACTAATGTCCTCTCTTCCGTCCTGTAGACGGAGGTCCGACTCTCTTCCGTCCTGTAGTCCGGGGTCCGGCTAGACTGCAGGCTACGACTGCTGCTGCTGTAGACGATTGATTCCTAATGAAACGCTTGGTGTGTTGGAGGGAAAGGACTACGAATACAACCACAGGAAGGAGCCAAATACCTCAATGGGGAACATTTCATTCTGGAGGTCGGTCGAAAGCTCGCACATGCTCCATCCTGATGGAATGACCCCCACGACGTGCCCTTTGCTTCCCACGGCTGCCCTCAGCCCTTGTGCCGCCCATCGGCTATCGCGCGCCGCGGGTCGTTTGCGTAACAATGGCGTCAGTTATTGCAACGCGGCCAACAGCCAACAACGTATGTACTTCGTAATTGGTTTTCTCCAACCTTGGGTGTCAAAGCAGCAGCAGCAGCAATTCGTCTCATACGTGTGTTCGCCCTGTTCTCCAAACAGCTGGCTGCTCGTTATTGTTACTTCTCTCCGTGGGGCACACGGAAACCAACCAACGGCAATGCGGATTCACCGCTAGCCATGCACGGAGGTCCTTCATAACGCTCTTGGACCCGTGCACGCCCAGCTACCTGCGGTGGAACCATCTCCGAGGGGGATACAGCTAAACGCCTCAGGCGGGCAACGAACACTCTTCCCTTCCCGGCGGCTCACCAGCAACAGGGGGGGGAACACCCCTCCCTCCTACCCGCCAACTAGCAACAGGGGGGGGGGGGGGGG